TTACTGAATAAACAGTAGGAAAATCCGGGAAGTCCCTATTGTGGAGTCGTCAAGATTTAAAGCAGGAAGAACCATAATTTAAAAAGAGATATTTAGTAAGAGATAATAGAGTGGATGCAGCGGTATTCTTGGAGGGATTCCAATCACTGAGCGTTACACATATATAGGAAATAACAGAGGCTTCCGATATATTTGTATTAACTGTAAGAAGCGGCATTACAACAACTCTTTAAAGAATAAGCCTGTGTCAAGGGTAATATTCTATGTAGAACAGTGCTGTGTGAGGAGGAAAATTGTTTAAGATAATACAAAGGTTTACAAAGTCAAATTGCATGAAGAGGACGGCAGTTGTAATGATCATACCATCTCACCAATACACTGGCTTGTAGAATAATTCCATTCCAGGAATACGCATATACCAATCCTAAGGCTATTCATGCTGTATAAGAATCTGAGTGATACTACCACTAAAAGGGGTTTCAACATACAGAGGGTGTTTATATATAGGAAGCAATTCTTATAGGCAAACTAACATTGTAAGTACAGTAATACGTCGCGAGCTGTGATTATTCCTTCTCAATATTATTGTAATATATATTCAATGATTATCCACGTACTATTAAGAGACACTTATTACGGAAGATTCGCACACCTGCTTTAATCTGTAGTATTTTCCTCTTAACAAGACTCGAAATCGATGCGGTAATATTAAAATATAACAATTATGTAAAATGAAAGATTAAACTTCTTATACTCTAGGGAGAAATAGGAAATTCTAAAAGGAATACTACTATATAAAACGAGCTGTTTCTCGTGGAGAGTTAGGAATAATAGTAACATCAAAGAAGGCGAAGAGAATAAAATAAGAATAGGAATAACAATACACATAAGATATTAAACAATCATTAACCTAGAAGGGGGGGGAGCAAGCATATAGGAGCGAATGATTATAATAGAATGTATATACGAATACAACTGAAAAATTTGAGAGAATTATCTACTTCACGAAACGGAGAGAGATATATGTAAAACCATATAAATACATCACAAGCCAGTGGGGATATCAACATGACGATCAAAGTGGAAATGCCTAAAAAGAAAGATACATAATTAATACCTACGGAGGAGAGAACACGACACAGGAGGATACAGGGAAAAATGAAGGAGGCTTGAGGATTAGACACTACCCCCGGAGGATAGAACCCAGGAACACAGTACGGGTGACACATAAGGAAGAATGTGAGCAACAGATCTTTCCCTTTGACAGGATAGATATATGAAATCGAGGGTTTCATATTTTCTAAAATATGCATAAAGAATTAGGAGCAGATAATATCTTGAATATGTGCTGGGTCCCTGGAGTATAGTAAGACATACAGTAACTTCATTTTTGTCTGTATCTAAGACTATAGATGATACTATAAGGACCCTCTCCTTGTTCACCATGAAGGATGTGGAATGTTAAGTGGTATTCATAACCGCTTTTATGCATAAGGGAGTATAAGAATATACAATGGATATATTCCCATATTGACATAAGGACATGTCCTATAAAGGAGTCTTACACCAGCATAGAGTTATGAGGTTCTTCTAAAAAATGAGAAGAAGTGAATAAATACATGATCATTTTGGCAGTGATATGGTTTTTATATGAGTTTTAAGTGTAATGCTATATGGGGATATAGACGATAATAGAAAAGTTCCCTCCCTTAATAATGAGTCAAATAGTTTTATGAACCTATTGTGTGTTATTCCACGTGATTAATTAACCCGAATTTTCGAAAGGATTCATGAGTTGTTGTGGGGATCATCTGAATAAACAGGGAACTCTTTATGTTTCAGTACATTATCATAATGTACAATTATGCCCCAGAGGGCAGAAGGATAACTGTTTAAATAGCTGGATACAGAATGTTGTGGCTTATAGGATATTTTCTTTGCTATATAGCATATCTTGAGGGATGATATAGAGACAGCTGTCGTGACCTGCTAAGGAGTAGATAAACAGAGGGATATAACATAGCGGGGGAGCATCATATAATGGTTAGGAATTTATTGATAACACATAGTGTATATTATAAGAGGAACAGGCGGACGACACAGGAGAAGGAAGGAACAGAAGGAGAGAAAGAAGGAATATTGAATTTGCGCCATAATAAGATAGATTAAGCAGTAGGCGCCCATAAATGGAACCGTCTAGTGTAAACCAGGAGAAAGAGTGAGAAAGCAAGCACGAGACAGATAGGAAGCAGTACCGAGAACAGCCAGAAGAGAAAACTATAGACACTGAAGCAGGTTTGATAAGACATATGAAGAAATGAGACGTATGACAGTGGAAATCATAAGGGGATATTTAAAATAATCACTATACAGTAATTAGTAAAAAACGGGGCAAGAAGGGACAAGGCAACAGGAGGATCCAACGACAAAGGAGAATGAGAAGAGAAGAAGAAGAAGAATATCCGAGTTTTACAACAAGTATGCCACTGGACAGATAACCCCTATGAAGAGTATACAATCATATAATATGAAATGGAGAACAACTAAGAGACAACAAACAATAACCTGCTAGGAAGAGAAGAAACAAGGGAACGCCATCCCCGCATGAAAGACGAAACCGGCGAATATAAACGGGGTGATAATACCCTAAAAAAATATAGATTCTACCAATGGAACCCAGATAAATAATCTCCTAACCTATGAATGGAATGGACTAGCTACGATGACCAAGAAATCCAACGGGAACAAACAAGAGAAATCCTTCCAAGTTCGTCCACCGGAGCTAACAATGCTCGGCCCCTCTGGATAAGTCTGAACCACCCAAATAAGTCGCTAACAGCAAGTCGATACACCAACAGATACGGGGGACCACACGAATAGGTCAAGGAGCAGGTTCGAAGAGGAACAAAATATAGCAACTCCCCAAAAGGTATCAGACGATTAGAAAAGAAAATAAAGGATATCAAGGAAGTAGCATTCGTATCCTCACGGGGAAATATATGCAAAAAAGTATAAGAAAACTATTCTCCAAAGGAAGCTAGAACCTCCTTACGCCTAGGCAAAGTCGCAGGAGAAGGAGAAAGAGGAAAAGATTGATTGATAGAAGGACACAGGAGAAAAATCCCAGGAAGGAACACCCCAGTAGAACTATAAGACTAACCCAAGCAGCTCCTTTCAGAGCATATCTCGGCTAACAGATCGAGAATCCACGAAGAGTAAGGAACAACAGGGAATAAAAGATAGTGTCTAAGAAAAGCCCAAGTAACATTCAGGTATAGAAGGATTTTTTAGCAGTAGAACAAGTCAGTCCTGAAGATAAGCCTGATCACAAAACCGTTGGAATAAGAGAAGCAGAATGACAACAAATGTGTTGAAAAGCCCAAGGGAGATTTCAGTAATAAAAGAAGAAGAGAACTAGCGAATAATCACACGCCGGCTCAATTATGCTTAAGCGTCATATCTGAAACACGTCTATTCCAGAATAGATGAGAGGGGATAAAGAAGGAAAAAAACTTCAGAAGCACCTAGAGACAACGGGTCCTCCTGAAGAACACGCCGAGTACAAACTAAATGAGGAAGAGGGAAAACGAGTTCCGAACAAGGAATCAAGGAAGGAATTCTGAACCTCGAGGGGAAAAATGACAGGAACAACACAAGCAGAGGAACAAGAAGGGAGCGTAACTCCGCTAAAGAGGGCAGGAATAGGAGGGGGTTCCAACTCAAGAAAAAGAAGATTCACCGAACGCGTAGGGGTACAATATAATTCTGAATATGGATTATAAGGGGAATATGATTAAGAGAAGCGGAATTAATAACCGAGGGACAAAGCTTCGGTACACTCAAGAAAGGCGAACTTCACAAGAAGAGAAAAGAAACCAAAGAAGGATTACGCAACAATGGACCAGAAGTAGCAGGATCTCCAGAAAAAAACACCGGGGGAGAGGCGATCCAAAAGGAGAGAAAGGAGGGAAAGTCAAATAAAGGAGGCATCACACCAGTTCCCAAGGGGAAGAAGATCTTCGGGCAAGAAGAATACACTCCTAGGAAGGAGCGGGGTTAATAACAGGAGAAATTAGGAACAACGCGGAGTAAATATCTACGAACATCCAGGTCAAGGCTCAAGGAAAATAACGAGGGATCTCTCTTAAGCATTCAGGGACGTGAAAAAAGGGAGGCACAACAGGGGGCGTCCTAATCAAAATCATTCGTGTCGCGAAATAGGGAGGGAGTACGGGATTCTACCAGTGAGCAAACCAAATTCAACTAGTCCGACAAACTCCCCGGCAGTCTAAAATACTACAGAAGGAGGTGAAGGTGCCAGGAGTCAGGACTGAAAGAAACGGCAAAAACGGGAAATGATAAGAATTCCCAATTAACTCATCCCTGAGGAGGAGTAGAACGGTAGAGATGCAAAGGCGACTTAGGGGTAATAAAAGAGCGCAGTCGCCTTCGATAAGGATATGGAGGTAGGATCCAACAAAGTGAACATCAGCCCCCGGATGTCTGAGACTAAGTTAATGAATTACTGACTCAGGTATCTGAAACAAGTTAAGAAATGGGTCTAAGTTTACATCAGTACATAAAGAGGATCTGGGATTTGAGCCCATGCGACAAAGACTCAGACGAAATCCCTTCAGGGGATTTCAAGCTCTGTGACCTTAGACGGGGAGGGAGAAAGAGTAGCATGATTATCCCAGGTGAAAGAGGTCCACCACCCAAAACTGGGAGCGTCATGAAGAAGAGCGATATAAAGGTGAGAGCAGTTATGGTCTGTCGAGCTATGGAAGGATGGATGTCGAATCTCACCTCACTGACCAATCCAAGCTTAAGATGGGAAGACAAGAACTGCAAGATAACGGATCTAGGACTCCCAAATGGTCAGAGGAAGGAGTGGAAGTGTCCCCGGAACGATCATCTGGAAAATTGGCAGGCCTTCGATAGCAACACTCCTTTATATCTGCAACAAGAGAGGCAATGTACATTTCGGGCTTGTATAGATCTGATGACTATATTCCTTAATATCTATAGTGAGTATAATAGTTCAAAACTAAAGCAGGCGCAGAAGGACGGAACGAAAATATGTCAAGAGATAAGTGACACTCTAAGAGCTTGGGGACAGGAGAAAGTAGCTGAGTGGATAATGGAAGAGTGGTTTATAAATCAGGTAGACGGAACCACTAAGCAGTACATAAGAATGAAAGATGGACACCCCTTAAGTCAGGAACTAAGTATCTTACTGAGCAACATGGGATTCCCTATCGTAGGAGTACAGTGTAGTAAACAGACAACCGGACAGTCGCAATATCAGGACAGCTGCGTGTATACGAAGCCAGGGGATTGTGAAGTAATGGGGGGGGATGAAGATGCCGAGTCAGGTAGCGGAGCCCAAGGTAAAGGAATGAGACAAATGTCAAGTGAACCAGGAGGTCTGGAAGTAGTAAAAGCCAGCCACTGAGGAGAACTAGCCCGAGCGTCTGTTCGAACCACGGTTTAGTTTAAAGAACAATTGAAAAATCTGTTTATTTATAGGTCTAATAAGCCAGAAGATTATAGAAGAAGTGGAAGAAAACGAGAAGGAAAAAAATTCCCAAGAGGAAATAACCAGGCAGACACAAGTCTTTACGGAGAAGACCCAGAAGGAAGCCAAGGCAATCAAGGAGGAGTTAGGAAATAGTGAGAGATTCCTTAATGTATTTCTGCCTGTCTTGGGAACAATATTACCTATTCTGGGCCTTGGCATTTTCCTATACAGGAGAAGGCGAACTAAAAACAGAATTACCAACTCCCAAAAAGGAGGAGTCTCTACAGACAAGAGGCAAGCAGTCGCGGCCCGATCCAAGAGGGGAGTAATTACGTATAGAGCAAATCGTATCGCAACAGACAACGAATCAGAAAACACCGGCTAAGGGAGTAAATCGGAGGTTCCTGCCGAAGGTCGTCAGTTAGAGATTTGGGGAGGAGCGTCTGGGTTTGAAGTGTATAAACCCAAATATTCCGCTTCAACCATCTAACGTCTAAGATTCCAGGTTAAGGATTGTGGAGATGAGGAGTAGGAATCCGCCTGAGGGAAGCTCAATTCCCCCTAGGGGATTAAAGGATTAACTTTAAACGGTTAGTTTAGGCTGGAGGGGATGTATTTAACGTTGGACAATCAGGGATCGTGTTATTAAGTTCTCCCGGACAAATTTCCTAAGTTCTTCAGAGCGGTTGACTCGACCCCGTTGTATGATTACAAGGAAACTAAGGGATTCACTCAAGTGTCCAATCATCTTCCTCCCTCGGATTATTTCTCCCCCTTTGGGTAGATTATGTTTTGTGATGGGGCCTCTAGGAGTGTGGAACTTTATCATATGTATAATGGTTTCCATCTTATTAGTCCGTTCGTCCTAGAAATATTAGTCATAATTCCAAGGTATGAATAATAAAGAGATAAAGTTGTCCCAAATAGGACGGTGCGTAGGAGGATTAATTTAGTCTGATTCTCTGTGGGAGGGGGTTTTGGTCTAGTATGAATTTATTCTTTAGTGAGTATATAAAATCCTTCTCAACTAATATAATCTGCATTGGAATGTACCTTCATTATAAACTGTAGTACCAAGAGAAGGACTCCTAAAACATCAAGGCAGGTCAGATATCCGACTTAGAGAAGATTTTGTTTTATCATCCTGTTTTATTTTGTCGTATCAAACAGGAGGGAAGGACGCCACCCATAAAATGGTGTCTTTCTCATTACTAGAGACAAGTACGCAACTTGGGGTTTTGTCTGATAAGTAGCTCATAAAAGTACCTCCATATACTGAGTCCTGCGGAGAAGATATTTCATCTTTTTTTAGATGTTTTATATGTTGTAATCACTCATTATTAAGATCCTCATGGTGCGTTGTCGTCCATGATCAACTATATATGTCAAAGGTGAAGTAATAAATAAATCTTTAGCCCCTCTGTGTATAGGTATTATGATAAATTCAAATGACCCACAACCATTAAACTACAGAAAAAGTACAATAGGTAATATAAAGAGCTCCTATGCTAGTAACAAAGGAGAAACTGTTCTCACGGTCTAACCTTATTCCAAAACTGCGCAAATGTCGGAATATTTAGGAGTTGATCAGGCCGATATAGAAGAGTAATTCACATTTAAATTTTAATAGAGGGATGTTGAAGAATAAGAATATTTGGCAGGAACAGGAACCAACGATTTCTCACGCCACTGAAATTATCAAGCAGGTTTATAGGTAAGGAATAAATTGACTCAAAACTAAGGAGCAGCTGATTCCTCATGTTAATTTTATTATGAGCATTTACAAAACGGATCATATTCCGAACAGATAACAAGGAAACATGATTTATCTGTTTAATATTCTTCAAGAAATCCTAATCCCAACAAATAATTAAATAACGCAAAAGAGCGAAAATGTTTGACCGGATTAATATTGTTTCGGAAATTACCGTGGATGAGCGTAATCAAACAAGAAACCGAAGAAAGCATATTCCCCCCCTTTAATTTTATTAAATACATTGCAATAACAGAGGTAAATATCAAAAGGAGGGAAGTCAAGTTTCCGACGCGGGTAATTTTATTACATATATTGCTATAGCAGAAATAATAGCCCAAAGAAGAAAAGGCGAGTTTTCGACGCGGGTAAATTTATTACATATATTGCCATAGCAGAAATAATTCCAAAGAAAAAGAAAAAGGCAAGTTTTCCACGCCAGTAAATTTATTACATATATTGCTATAGCAGAAAGAATTCCCCAAAAAAATGAAGGGGAGTTTTCGACGCGGGTAATTTTATTACATATATTGCAGTCGGCGGAAAAATTAACATGGCCAAAACAACTCAGTGTTTCCTCCCCTAAAGATTCTTGAGAAGTTTCACGGGGCCGAAACTCGTTAAAAGAAGATGAAAAGTGAGAATTTTTCATACGTTTAATTTTATTCCGAACACTAACATAGCGGCCAATTAATTGGAAAGAAGAAGGAAGCACAGAATATTCCGTGCAGAAAAATTTATTCCATAAAATCAATTGGGAGAGGAAATTACCCCAGCATCCAGGCCGGATGATGTTTGACTCGATGAATTGTATTACCCAAATCGAGATGGGAACAAAAAATTGACCAAATAACAAAGAAACAATTTACCATACGGTTAATTTAATTCCAAAAAATTCGGGGTGCCAAAATGATGAGCAAAAGTTGGAGAAACTTTTGTACAAATTTAATTGTGTATGAATCATGAAAACTCCAAGCAAAAATGGGACGGAAGAAAAAAAGGCGCCTGATCAAACAGTCTAATCTGATTGCAGATATTCCCAACACAGAGAAATTAAACAAAAGTGACCAGACAAATATTCCGTCCATGTAAATTAAATCCGTGAATTCGGGTGCCAAAAACATAATAATACAGCGAAAAAATCACATGTTCATCTCCTTTAAAATCCTTCAGGATAATTATCGGTGGATGTAATATTTTGCACCGCAAAAAGGGAAGGGTAGTTTCACACGTGTAATGTCATTCCGAAGAGGTGTGTACAAAGCTATAATTGAAAGAATGGCGAAAAACCCAATGTTCCACCCCTCTAGTGTCATTCGAGATAATTACCAAGGGAGGCAATATTTTGCACACAGGAAAAGGAAAGATAATCTCACACGTTTAATGTCATTCCCAGAATGTGTGTGCAGGGAAATAATTGACCAAATGGAAAAGCGACGAATATTTCATCCATTTACTGTCATTCTGAATAATTAACAGAAGGGGACAGATTTTGCCCACAGAAAGAGGAAAAATAATTTCCCACGTGTAAAGTCATTCCCAAACTGTGTGTGCAGGCAAATGATTGACGGAATGAAAAAACAACAAATGTTCCACCCATTTAGTGTCATTCAGAATAATTACCAAAGAAGGCAACATTTTGCACAAAGGAAAAGGAGAAATAATTTCACACGTGTAATGTCAATCCAGAAATGTGTGTGCAAGGCAATAATTGAAGGAATGGAAAGAGACCGAATGTTCCAGCCCTTTAGTGTGATTCGAAATAATCAGCAGACGGAGAAGAATTGTGCCCACAGGAAAAGGAAAAATAATTTCACAGGTGTAATGTCATTCCAAAAATGTCTGTGCGACGAAATAATTGAACAAATGGCAAGCGACCCAATGTCCCACGCCTTTAGTGTCCTTCAAAATAATTACAGGATGGGGCAACATTTTGCACACAGGAGAAGGAGAAATCATTTCACCCGTGTAATGTCATTCCAAAAATGTGTGTGCAACGAAATAATTGATCAAATGCGAAACGAACGAATCTTCCACCCCTTTACTTTCATACGGAATAATTAGCAGACAGGGACAAATTTTGCCCAAAGGAGAAGGAAAACTAATTTCACAAGTGTAATATCATTCCAAAAATGTGTGTGCAACGAAATAATTGATCAAATGCCAAATGAGCGAATCTTCCCCCCCTTTACTTTCATTCGAAATAATTAGCAGACAGGGCAATATTTTACACCCAAAAACGGAGGGGGATGATTCACTGGTGTAATGTGATTCGAAAACTGAGGTTGCGGAAGAATAATTAGAGGAATCCGAAAACAGTGGATGTTCCCCACATTTAGTGTCATTCTGAATAATTAACAAAGAGGGCATTATTTTGCACACAAAATACAAGGCCGATGATTCCCTGGAGTAATGTGATTCCTAAAATGCGGTTGCGGAAAAATAATTAAACAAATCCCAAAAAAGCGGATATTCCCCCCATTTAGTGTCCTTCGGAATAATTCCCAAAGAACGCGATATTTTGCCCACAGGAGAAGGGAAAATAATTTCACACGTGTAAAATTATTCCAAAAATGTGTGTACAAGAAAATAATTGAACAGATGAAAAAACAACCAATATTCCCCCCCTTTACTCTCATTCGGGATAATTCCGAAACGAGCAATATTTTACAAACAAGAATGAAGTTGGATGATTCACTGGTGTAATGTCATTCCAAAAATGCGGGTGCGGAAAAATAATTAACCAATTCCCAAGACACCGGATGTTCCCCAAATTAAGTGTAATTCTGAATAATTACCAGAGAAGGGAACATTTTGCACACACGAACGAAGGGGCATGATTCCCTGGTGTAATGTGATTCGAAAAATGCGGTTGCGAAAGAATAATTAAACACATCCGAAAACAGCGGATGTTCAACCACTTTAGTGTCATTCTGAATAATTACCAAAGAAAGCAATATTTTGCACCAACACGCAATAATGTTTCCATCGCGTAACCTCCTAAAAAAAATTCCGTGGCAAAAAAATAATTAACGTAACGGAAAA